TCCCATGCTCTTTCTGGGGGCTAAGGAAATGCTTATCTCCCCGAGCGTGGCCTTCACCAAACCATTCCATCACACTATGGTACTGCTCTTTCTTGTGGAACAATTTTGCAGTTCCTTCCTTTCATGAAGGAAAATACAGGCAAGACAATATAGATAGTGAAGAAGCTTCACTGCTGTTAAAATCAAGTGGGGATGGACATTCTGAATGTAGATAGAGTGTTAAAATGCTTCAATAGGAAATGTTTTTAAAAATGCAGAAAAGGAACAATATCTTGAAAAGTATAAAGGAAGTATAAACTATAAAGAAACAGTGGGTGATACAGAGTATGTATAGATAATGTCCTGAGAAAATATGGGGCTAGGAAAAGGTCAGCCTGAGGCAAAATGCACATGGACATAAAGGAGAAATTATTTCAAATTTGCAAGATTGATGTTAGCTCTTCAAGGTAGTCCAGACAAAAGCCCAACAATGAACACTTGCTCTATCTTTATTGTAAGGTTATGTTAACAGAATTTTGCAAGTCTGAAAGCATTTCTCCCCTCCTTTCCTTTTACTCTCTGGAGGCTTCCTTCTGAAACACTTCCCACGCCCCTCTCCTTCTGTGGACTGGAATACCTTTTACATGCCGGTTGTCCAGTCTGTGGCTCTTCTTCCTGTCTCTCAAGGTCATTCCCACATACCGTTACAGTGGCCTCCTCCCTTGCACATTCCTTTCTCAGCAGCTGCTACAGGCCAAAAGAAAGTATAATGTTTTTAAAAAGGAATATTGGGCTATCAAAAAAGCTCTTCAGTATTGGTGTCATTCCTCAAAGGTATTTAGTACCTTGTAGAAATTTAAATGGAGAGAAAAAGTCTGAAACACAGTCTACTTACAAGTTTATACTGTGTCAGGTCAGGGCATATGTTTTCCCTCTAATTTTAACTTAAATAACTCTTATATTCAAAGCTTTAAGAACAAACAGAATGATGCTTTATTACATAAGCTACTGTATGTTTTTACCTTAAAATCTTCTCCTAAACCTTATTCTCTTCCTTGAAAAATTTGACCTACTCCTCTGAAGCTGAGCAAAAGCAGGATCCATATGTTCAGGTTCAAATAGATTATGGTTTGCATTATCCTCCCACTTTTTTCTAGGAGAACATGAGAATGATGGTTATATGTCCATTCTTCCTTGAGGAAAGAAGTGATGCAACTCTCACAACTACCAGTCAGTTGGGCATTTTGAAGTATTTAAAACTGTCCATTTCCTTTTACATAATTTTTGGTGTCCTTATGTTACAGCAGACATCAAGAATTGTTTCTTTACACCATGCTTGTAACTGTGCAAAGTCTTAGACTGGCAAACATTTTTGCATGTTATATTCTCTCCCCTCCACACAGAGGCCTTGGGATAATTTACTTGAAGTTTATAAATGACCTACCATGTATCAAAGGTGTGGACCTCATTCTGGTGGTAGCTGATCTGATCACTTATTCCTTCCTTCCCTCCACCCCAAAACATCTCCTTTGTTCATCCAACAAGTTTTCTGGAAGTATAGCTTACCCAATCATCTGATTTCTGATGGAGGCACCAATTCATGGCACTTTTTTGAAAAAGCCCCATTTCAATTACTGGTTGTGAAATTCTGCCTTTCCTCTGGTCATCATGCAGAGATGAATGTAGAAACTGAGAGAACAAATGACTCCTCAGAGCAATGCCTTCATTACTATGTGCCAGCAAAACAATTGGCCTGAACTTTTACTTGTGGCCAAGTTATCTTATAATGACTCAGTTCATGTCTCCAGTCTGAACTGTCATCATTTCAGGCTCCCAAATGTGGTTGCTACCAGTGCTTGCTGCCAAATTCCTCCTGGCTCTCCCCTGTTCCAGAGATTTCCCATTTTCTCCAGAAACTCCAAGACGCTCAGAGCCTCCTTAAGGATCACCTAGATTACATTAAGATCTCCTACAAGCATTCTGCTGACCATCATCATCAGGAATCCTATAATTCTACCAGATTTCTCCCCTCCATACAACCCTATGCTGCCCAACTCCCAGCAACTCAATATTACAAAATCAATCTTGTGGCATTTTGTCTGTAGCTTCCAGTTACACTGAGAAAGCACTCAATTTTCTACAATTCTTCCTGATACTGGAATGCCCTTGTTCCTGGAATGCCTTTCTGCCCACCCACCCCCATCTCACTGGGGAAGTGGAGAAGGGATTTGAGTTAAAGTATATTTTGGACTCTTAGCTCAGGCAGGGCAGGTTTAAATATTTGACTCATTAGAAGGGCTACCTGTACCCAGAATGTTTGAGGGAGATGACAGATAATACACATGTATCACCTCCTATATTCTCAATCCATCACACCTGGCTGGTAATGCCATACATTTTCTGCAGCTGCCAATAATTCAGACACTGAGGGGAAGTGGGAGGACACTGTATG